CTTTTAATTCTTTTAAAAGAAACTCTGATCAAAGTGAGCCTAGACCAATCCCTTCATTAAATTACAGACAGATCTCTAGGTTAACACTGATTAGACCTCGCATGGATAAATCTGTATTTACTCTTAAGGAGAGTACTAAGTTGAAGAGGATTGAGCTTCCTTGTTTTCCAAGTGACTATTTTAACAAGGGCAGTCCAAAAATAATCTCGATATTCACCTCAGTGCTCATCTATTCAGATTCTTGGTAAAGGCAATGTTATCTAAATTGTCTCAAAGGGAGTCACATTGTTGAAATGTGTAAATATAAGGGAGATATCTTCTCAAGAAACTTGTGATGCCACTCTTGTGTCACACAATTATTCCAGCACTCTCAAGTCGGTATCCTTCATTGTGTGAAGGGGCTGGAATTAAGTTGGGTCAGACTAGTTCAGAACCTGACTTACTTTAAAGTAGTTTTTAAACCTCGTCACATACTGGAAACACCTAGGTAGCTTTTGAGAAATACTAATTTCTAGACCCCACCCTCAGATTCTGATTTAATGACCATAATTGACTTTACGGATTTGGGCCAAAAAATGCTTTTTTTTTCCTCTAGTAGTGACTCCATTTCCCAACATACTCCAAATCTCAAGTCTTTACTTCATTCCAGGTGCTATTACAACCAGTGCTCTTTACTACCATATTTTTGTTGGTTTGCTATTTTTTGGTAAGATAACCATTCTGAGTATGTCTGCCTAATTAGGATTCGGTTTTGCATAAAACATTTGCTTCACCAGACCTCTTTCTTTGCCATTAGAGAAAAATCAAGTGCCCTTTTTTTTTTTAAACAGCAAAATCCCCTCTTAATTACTTCGTCCTTAGATAATTCCATTTGTTCATTCAACAAATACTCATTGAGCACCTGTTATATGCAATATAACAAGTCTGGGTGCCAGATATATGCAGTAAATAACACAAACCTTCTGTGTTCTTAGGGAATTTACGTATTTCCCACTGGTGGGGGAGATAGATGAAAATATGGTATCAGATTGTGGTATGTATAATGAAGAAAAATAAAGTAGGGTAAGGAATTAAGCCTTTTTTTTTTTTAAAGATTTAACCATGTTTTGTTTTTCCTAGAATTTAATAAACTGCTTGCATTCAGAACCATTATTTTTCCTTTCAGATACTGGTGAATACTATCCTAGAGGTTGCCTTTTCTCTGAAAATAGCTATAAGAGTTTTCACTGTCTATTCACCCCGTTCAGCATAGCAGAGCACAATATGAGATGGTAAGGACAAGAAAGATTTTCAAAGTGTGCTTAAGTTTAGATTTGTGTAGTTACCATGGACATTTATTGTTTTTACTATTGCTGTCTTATGATAAAGCTAATAAAGGTATTTTTGTGTAATTTTTTCATGAAATATTATATGGTACCTATGAAAATATTATATGGTACCTAGAAAAATCAATATATACTAATGTAACCCTAACTTAGGTCAAGAAGCAAATCAATTCTAGTAATGCAGAAGCCTCTCCCTCCACGTGCCCTATCCTGATCATAATCCTCTCTCAACATTTTTGTAACTAGTCTGATCTTTGTGAATATCCTCTTTTTTCTTTCTACTGCATCCCTATGTGATATAATTTAATTTTGCTTGTATTTGAGCCCTGTGTTATAATTATTTCATATTTTGTTTTGCTTTTTTCCCTCTCAACATTACGGTGGAGATTCATCCACTGAATCCAGTTGTATATTCATTCTGTTATTGATGGACATTGGTGTTAGTTTTTGGCTAATACGAACAATGAACATTTTTGTTTGTCTTTTCTAGTGTACATGGTATTCTTCAGGACATATTACCAAGGACTGGACTTGCTGTGAAAGGGTATTTTTCAGGTTTACTAGACGATTTTTTTCTGCCAAAGCAGTTTCCCAGTTTACACATACAACTGCAGTTCGTGACAGTTCTTGTTGCTGCACATCTTCATGAATACATAAATGTGTTTCTTAAAGTTATTAATGAAAAAAAATTAGGCGTTAAAAATCTTTCCAGTTCTTCACACTTTAATTTCTGCTTCAGAGAAATCACTTTTCAGAGGTAAAGTAATAAAGAGTAGGCAACATCTGAAATACTGCACATGTATTATCTCATGTAAGAGAATCCCAAAGCAATGGCCTTTACTAGTCCCATTTTACAGATAAGGAAACTGAAGTAAATAGATATTAAATAACTTAAATTGGTATAAATAGAAATGGTCTATTAAAGACACAAAATCAGGTGTTTGCCCGTAAGGTCTAACATGGTTGTCATGCTTTAATTCCTTACCCCCGCTTTCAAATATTTATGTGGCCCTAGAAACTGATCCTTGAAGAATGAAAGGGCTAATGTTTGTGTTCCTTGGCAGACTTTGAGAGGATGTTTATACACACACAAAAAATGACGAAAATGGGTCATTGCAATTCCTTGTGATCTCTCCACAATTACTTTATTTCCAGAATGGCTGAGCCACAACTTCCCTGGTAGGGTTTTTGACCTATATTCAAAAAAGAAATGTGCTAATATTATGTTGAAAACTTCAAGTTTGGGCAAGCCCAACGACCAACAGAAAACAAAACTATTAATATCAGCCATCACTACCAGGTTCCAGAAATATAAACGTTGCAGCCTGAATTCTCCTTTCCCTTTTGTTACTCTAAGATATAATTTTAATTCTTAGCACGTCATTAGAAAAAATGTCATAATCATAAATCTCTTTTAGTTATTGAGTGAACTATGCTAACTGCTGTGAGAAATACCAAGATGTACCTAGATGTGGCATACAAATCTCAGGAAGCTTAAAATTCATTAAAAAGAACATGCCTATGATGGCTACCAATTAAGGAATTTTGAGACCAACGCGGCCCATCAATGCGCCAAAGGGACGGCAGTGAAAAATACTGTTCTAGAACGAATGGATTCTGGAATTCTATGTCTTGTCACAGTTAAAACCTAATCTGCAGGTGCCTGGCTATGTCTGTTTTTCTTACCAAGGGACCAGTAAATAAATGGAAATTGGCTTTATTCGCTCTGTTGGGAAACAGGCTAGTATATAAAATGTAGTGCGAAACTGGTCACTCCTGAGTCCAGGCGGCCCTAAATCTCCCCCCGCCCCAGGAAAGGGCTGAGCTGAGCGAGGGCTGCCCTGGGCATTGGTTATGTGAATACAGTACACACCTGACTTCGCGAGCCAGCACTAACTGGGAGCTGGCCGCAGGACCAGCGCCCAATTCCTGCTCAAAGCCGCGAGACTTTAATTTCTCTGCCCCGATCTCAGTACGTCCGTAATGGAAAGGGCAAGTACTTTCTGACGGCCTCCTTCCACAAGAGATTCGTTTTATTAAAAGAGACGCAGGGAAGAGTCAGTGAACTTCCTCGTTCGCGAAACGGCAGCGAAGATTCCTGCACTTTCTCCAAGGAAGGGGTGTCAGCTTTGCAGAACTGGAGTTTGGCCCCAAGTCTGGCCACACCCTTTGCTTCCGGATTAGGGCACAAACAGAACCCTCCCCCCAGAACACTTACCCTTACGGTTCGGCCCCAACAGGCTATTTTTGCTCAGTCCCTCACGGCGCGTTTCCGGCCTCTGCGCCGGAAGTTGGAACGACTGAAACCGCAAATCCGAGGCGGATCCCGTGACCGCTTCAGGTGAGATCTCGCGACGTGTCTTCAAATCTCACGAAGAAGAGTCGGAAGAGGCCTAACTGCACCGCCCCAGTTTTTACGTCACCGCGGAGACACGCCCTTGGGCGCTCGTTTGCGTGCTCGCCCTGCTGCGCATGCGCACCTGCCCTCCTTCCGCCCCCGTGCGGGCTTCCCTCTGGCCAGTCGCGCGTGGGCTGAGGCCCTGGGCGGGCGTTGCGAAGGTTTGTTTGCTCAAGTGCTGACCCTGGGGCGGTCAGGAGTTCTCTACCTCGGGGGTAGAGGGTGCAGACCCCCTACCTAAGGTGAATGTGCTGTCTCGTGGACTGCTAAGGACAGGCTGGGGAGCAGGGGGGCCGGCACCGCGGCCATGAACTCACCCGTGGACCCCGGCGCTAGGCAGGCGCTGAAGAAGAAGCCTCCCGAGCGGACCCCCGAGGTAAGGCTGGCCGACGCTAGCGTGCGTCCCGCTGTCCAACGGACAGCATCCTCCTGTCGGTCCGAAAGCTGCGGCGACTGTCCTCTTGCCGGAGTCTCGCACCTGCTGCCAGTATATCTGTTCTCTGCGTCCCCCCCCCCCCCCCCCCCCCCCCGCCAAAGGCCCTTCTCGCCGGGGTGATGACCGCCTTTCCTGCTTGAGGTGCAATCTTCCCGCACACCCGTCTTTGCCAGTAACTTCCTAGTGTTTTCGATAAGAAGACACCATAACAAAATCGTATTTTCTCAGGGCAAAATGTGGGTCTCGGAGTGAGAGTGTCCCTAGATAGATAGAAAAACAAGGTAGAAATTGTTAGTAGTCAAATACTCAAAAAGTAACTTCTCTTTAAAGGTCCCTGAAGTTGCCTAGAAAAGAAAGTTTTCAAAATCAGCTTAAAACTTTGCATCCAGTCAGGTGATGAATTCTGGTGGTGGATGATGCATATTTAAAGATTTGGTGGTTCTGGTTGGTACTTTCTCAGACTGTCAGCGGGAAATTTTTCAGTATTTTGTGCTTGGATCCAAAATTTGCTCTGTTGGGTTAGCATCAGTGGCATCAGCTTAAATGAATTTCATTTGGCCTCTATGCTGATTTTCAGTCACATAACTGAAACCTTGTAATTTTGCATAGCCCTATAGAGTGCTTAGATTTTGTGGGAGGTTTTCCTTGATTTGGAGTAGTTTCTGTAATAAGTGGTGTATTTCTTAAACCAAAAAGCAATAATAAGAGTGTGAAGGGATTGTTAGATTGTATATGGTTGCAATGAATGAAATTAAATGGTTAGTTCTTAAGCCACTTTGAGGTTTTTTTCAGATTTATAGTGCTTTGCATAGTGGATCTCAGTAACTTTTGTGATATGACATTAGTCAAGGTGTAACTGTAGCTGTGCTAAGTCAAACTTTTTGGGGATCCTTATCTTTAAATGAAAACAAGGCAAATTCTGCCTCTTTCCAGAGTCCTCATTTTGAGACCTACATTTATTATCCCATGTGTTTTAATTTCCCTGTGATGATTCTTGAAGTCATCGTGAGCTAATTGAAAGCCTTCACCTTCACAGGTGAATCTGCTACAGTTTTTATATAATTAGAAATGATTATGCATGTCTTGCAATCTATAATGCAGGTTTTACTTTTAAATATTATTTACGATAAATTCACATTTTAATGGGAAAATCTTACTTTAGTGGCATAATTAGCTTCTTTGGAATGGCCTATTTTTGAGCCTTAGGGGATTTTCTTTCTTCCTTCCTCTTTTTCTTTTGTTTTTTTGGTTTTAGAAGATTTTCTAAACTATTCAGAAAATTATGTTGGCTGGTGTGTGCCGCGTTAAGTACTTTATCTTGTTTTACTGGAACAGCAGCATTGTTTGAGGGAATGCTGACCAACTGCCCACAATACAGTCTACAATCCTGACATAGCATGGTAACTGCTTGATTTATTGGCAGTGCTTTTGAGTGAATATAGAATTTGTCTGCAGTACAAAAGTATGAGTAAAGAAGTGGTAACCTAAATCCAAGTGATGATTTATTTTTGAGAATTTCATCAAATTATGTTTCTCTGTTTAGGAGATCTTTATTCTTTTAGTGGACTTTTAAAGTTTTATTATAAATATTTTCATTTAACACTTAACTGAAATCTTACAAATTCAAGGCACTATTCTGTGCACTGGGATGTATCAGCGAACTAAACAGGCGTGTCCTACTGGTGCTTGCAATTCTAATGGAAGGGGCCAGGGAGAGACGGGAAAAATACAATCAAGTAAGTTAAATAATATGTGATAATGGCTAATTTAAGAAAGAATAAAAGAATTGGAAGCACAGGGCAAGGGCTGGGTTGCAGTTTAAATAAGATGGTCATTGTTGTGATTTCTGAGAAGATGACTTTTTTTAAATGATTTTGTTTATTTAATTGACAGAGAGAGAGGGACAGAGAGAGAACACAAGCGGGGGGAGTGCGAGAGGGAGAAGCAGGCTTCCCGCCAAGCAGGGAGCCTGATGCGGGGCTCGATCCCAGGACCCTGGGATCATGACCTGAGCCGAAGGCAGTCGCTTAACCAACTGAGCCACCCAGGGGACCCTGAGAAGATGACTTTTGATTGAAGGCTTGATGCATGTGATGGAATTAGCTCTGGAGATACATGGGGAAAGAGCTTTTGAAATGGAATAGTCATTGCACTTCAGGATGAGGGTATGTCTGGTGCGTTCAAGGAATAGCAAGGAGCTGTTAGTGACAGGAGGAGAGTAAACAAGGGTGAGAATTGTAAGAGATGAAGTTAGACAATAATAGTAGTGTAGGAGAGAGTGTATCGTTAACGTCTTTGTAAGTCATTGGAAATTCTTCAACTTTTTTTTGTGTGAAGGGGGGAGGGGTACCAGAGGATTTTGAAGCAGAGGAGTGATATTATCCTACTTAACTTTTTAAAGAGCCCCCTGCTTGCTTGCTGGGTTGAGAATAGACTATATGGGAGCAAGGGTAGAAAGAAGCAAGCACGTCAGTTAGAGGCTATCATGTTGAAGTCGGGAAGCGCTGATTATAACTCAGACTGAAGTGATAATCAGGTGGCAAGAAGTAATCAATTACAGAAATATTTTGAAGGTTTAGCCAACAGGATTTGCTAATAAATTAACCATGTGCTTTGGGGGAGAGAAAAGCATCGAGCAGTGTTTCAAGGTTTTTGGTCTGAAAATCAGTGTTGGAGTTACCATCAAAGAGTTTCAGCTGGTGTGAGAGATGGGGAAAGCTGCTGGAGGAGTAGGTTTTGGGAGGGAAGATCAGGAATTCAGTTTTGAAAATGTTAAGTTTGAAATGTCTTTTAGAAATGTTGAGTAAGGAGTTGTATATACAAATTTGTATTTCTATAGAGAGGGCTGGGCTGGAGATTTTTTATATTTTATATATTATATATTTTATGTTTTATATTCATTCGCTAGTAGATACTATTTCAAGTCGTGAGACTAGATGAAATTACCAAGGCGGTGAGTGAGAAGAGAAGAGGACCACAGACAGCCCCATGGCACAGATGATTACTACAGCATCAGGGGAGAAGAGCAGAGACCAGCAAAAGAGAATGAGTGGGAGCAAACAGTGCAGGAGAAGAAAAGCCAAGCGAATAAAGTGTGTAATAGAAGGGGATAAAATACATTCAACTTATTTTTTCTTGAATGCTTAGTGGGTGCAAAGCATTATGAAAAAATAGACAAATAGGTAAGAATCACTGTCTTATAATCTTGTAATCAGATGTTTGCAGTGTGTAATGAGTATAGAAAGTCTTCTCTTTGTTTCTGGGCCAAAATTAATAGTCTCTTTATTTTGAACCATCTGTTGTCCTTACGTGAAACTCTTATCTCAGACTTAATCTTAGTGAGCCAGACATGGAATGTGGAATCGTGTTGGACAGTATATATCACTTAGAACTGTGTTCTAACACAGTTTTTACTTTCTTTCTATTTCTCCTACTTCGTAGTTCCAGCTTCATAGCCCGTTGTCTTTCCTGAGCTAGTTCTCTGATTTCCTTTTCCACTTCACAAAGATTTTTTTTTAAGTGGAAATTTTTAGACTTAAGTACTCTGCGAAGCTAAGTGCTCTGTATCAATGAAAGCTGTTAAGGTACTCATTCTGAGTCCTTCTAGCAAAATTAAAGATAGTACAGTCGAAATTAAGGAATTGAATTTGGCCCTTCCTCAACTCAGTCCATATGCAACACCATTCTTTGTCGATAACCTTTCTTTTTTTTTTTTTTTTTTTTTTACCTCAGAGTGAGCTCCTTATCTTAACTCTTGGGGTTTATTTCCATAAGTGTTTAAGATCATGCTTTGCATGTACTAAATAATGAATAAATGTGTTAAAACAAAATTTAGAATTCATTTTGTATAGTCCTCCTGTTAAAAAGATAATAGTTTTTATCGATAGAACTGTTGATTTGTACTTCCTGGGAAGCCTCATTCAGCAACTTGACTTCACTTAATGTTTATAGGCTGACACCTGGTCCTTCTTACCCCCCCCCTTTCATGTGCTTTGGATCCATACATCCATTAAATTGTCCTCCAGGTTCTTTAATCAGTAGTCCTAAATTGAAGCCTCATCATTCCCTCTTAATATTCTATTGGTGACTGCCCCAGTTGCTCAGGCTAGAAATTCATGTTTCGACTCTTGATTCTCCTTGATAATCTTCTCTCTGTCCAACTGGCCACTAAACCTTGTTGATTTTATGTCCTGAATCTCTTTCTACCTTTTTTTCCCGTGCTCTGCTACCCTCGTTCAGGCCCTTACATCATTTTACCTTTGACTATTGTACTTGAGTCATTTTATTTATTGTTATTTTACTGCTACAGTTTACTTTTTAATACATCTCATCATGTTTCACTCTTGATGAGAATTGCCCACTGCCTAGATAAGTTAGCAATAAGTTATCCAAATCATTTTTGCAAGTTAAAAGAGGTGCTATTAATATTTATGTCAGAATAACAGGTTAAAGAGGGGCTGTCTGAGGTAAACAGTTGTATTATCTCACCTAGGTAAATAAAATTAATATGTCCTTTCATTTAATAAATATGTCAGACATAATACTAAAATACAGTGTTGTAGAAAGAAATT